CCCCCGCCGGTCTGCAGCGGCTTGTCTCGCCTCGGGCCTTCATGGGCTGAAAGTGCAGATTAAAAATAAAAAATGAAATAAATAAATTAAATTTAATTAAATCTAAACAATTTACATATTTATGCTGCTGCAGCAGCAGCAGCAGCAGCAGTAGCAGCAGCAGCAGCAATCGGCGACGGCCTCGCGCAAGGTCAAGAGACACTCCAGCGGCTTTTTCGTTTTTACTCTTACTTCCGGTGTCTGTACACCTCGAGGCCCTTTTGCTTTTAGTGTTCTTTCTGTGGGCACAGAAGAAAAACAAAAACGAGGGTTTAGGGTTTAGGGTTTGGGGTTAAGGGTTTAGGGTTAGGACCAGGCGAAACTTGACGCTCCGCAGGGAAATAGAGCGCGGCGAAAAGCCTAGACAGATGCTTTAGGGTTTAGGGTTTACAGTCTAGGGTTTAGAACGCAAAACCGAGGGTTTAGGGTTTTGTGCTCGCGGTTTAGAGTTTAGGGTTTAGGGTTTAGGGTTTACGGTTTAGGCTCGCAGCACCAGTCCATTGAAGCTGCTGCATGCGCCCTGGGCCCCGTTTGCTGCTGGCTGAGATGCAGCAACTTAAATCTTTCTTATATTCTTTTTCCTAAACCCTAAACCCTAAACCCTAAACCCTAATCAGCTACACGAGAGCGGCCTGGTTGCTGCTGGCCCTAAACCCTAAACCCTAAACCCCTACAGACTGCAGCACTGCAGCAGATGCTCCTCCTAGCGTGCTCCTTCCCCGCAAAGGCTGAGACCTAAACCCTAAACCCTAAACCCTAAATTAGGGTTTAGCACCTCCCTAGGCCCAATGGAGGGGCGCTGGATAGGGGGTCCCCCAAGCGGCTACCACCGAGGGTCCCTTTACCACAAGCAGCAGCAGCAGCAGCAGCAGCAGCTGCAGCAGCAGCAGCAGCAGCTTCAGCAGCAGCAGCTGCAGCAGCAGCAGCAAATTTCAAAAGGCAGGGAAAGTGAGGCTTCACAGGAGCTGGCTACTTTGTGTGCACTCTTTTGCCCCCGAGGGTTTAGGGTTTAGGGTTTAGGGTTTAGGGCTGTCACGAATATCGCTTTCTTTCCACAAACCCTAAACCCTAAACCCTAAACCCTAATTTTGTTTATAATTTTTTGTATGTCGATTCAGACATTCAGGAGAAGAACTCAGCGGCCTCAAACCCTTCTAATTCTGCTGCTGCAGCAGCAGCAGCAGCAGCAAGAGGGGGGCCCCACAGGGGCCCCCATGGGG